TATGTGAAAACATTAACATTATAATCATTGTGATTTATACATATGAAAATAAGTTCATACAGCACAGAACATTGAAAGAATATTGCTGAGATGTTACAATGTTGAATATTGAAGTGGCAATGTTTAAGTTGTATAAATGTGAGTTTATAAGATCAATGTAATTATTTGTAAACATGAATAAAGGAAATTAAAAAATTCGTTACCTTTTAGGTATTGATTAATTTGAAAATGTATAACGAGTCATTAAATCAATACAAGTTATAAATATCACTGTAACGACAAGTGGTTTAGTAATAAAGCTATGCGTGGTAGAGTTTGTGACAATTGTTGGGCAGCATATAAACCTAGCTTCCTGTTACTTGATTATACAAAATCTCTTACTCAATCATCTATACAAGATACAATCATTCACAAAAGCGCCGCAATCACCTAATCAAATTTATTCTCAATTATCTAGTCTTGATTATAATCAGAAGCAAACTCCATTAATTGTTGAAAGTAAACCATTGGACGGACTCATATTGTAAAAAAAAAAAAAATAAAAAGATTGTTCATATAATATAACATTGTAAATAAGATTGTAAATAAGTTTGTAATTTATTGCTCTCATTTATCTCAAAAAGATTGTACAAATGCTTAAATAAATAATGATGGTGTTCTGATATTCACTGCCAGTATTGAAAATCTATAATTATACATAATATTAACTATAGATTTTTTAAAATCTATAGTTTGAAAATCTATTATATATTTATTAACTTCTGATCTATATCTATTAACTTTGCAATGTAACATTACATAAACTGTCTTGAATACATAAAGTAGATACATATATTAAAAAACTAAGATCTTCGTTGTTTATTTTATAATTCATTTTCTTACATTTCTAAAAAGTACAGATTAAAAAAAATACTATTTCTTATTGAAATAACTTATAATTCAGATGAAGATAAACTGCAATTACGCAATTATGTCACATAGATATACATATTGAATTGAGATTTATCGAAAGTTATATTGGAGGAATAGTAATCAGATCATGTTTTAGCATCATAGACATAAGCCTTATGTAATATACTACCAGTGTAAATAATATTTACACTGGTCTCAATACAACACGCAAGTAGACCTATATTGACTTTCAAGGAAAGAGTTCGTTTTTTCTGCTTTCAGTCGTCAGTACGCATCACTTGTGATATAAGCTATTATTTAATACATATTTCTATATATTGTATTTGTTCCTAACACGTTTCGGTTATTATCATGTCTATTCCGTTCAAATTTAATGAAAATGTTATAGAAAAGAATGATGAAGAACAGCAAAGTATAGACTCAATTACCTTGAGACGTTGGTAAGTTTAGAATTTCTTTTTTATTATTTCTTGAAAATATACATCGACGAGCAGTAATAATGGACGGATATTATTTATCAGAATTAGACTCGTGTTTAGCTAGCGGATTATACGTTGATTTAGCTAGAAGATTATGCAACTGCGTTTTATATGTATGTTTATTATAATGTAAATGCGATTAGATAAATCTTCTTTATGCGGCATAATATTTTTATGCGGCAATGAAAATTTATGTTCGAAGACTCTTATTCTACAATTGTAAAACTAAAAAAAATACAAGAAGACATCCGTTAGTGTGTTGATTAAAATTCCCCAAAATTTTTGTATTTAAAACAAAATGAACATACATTCGGGCATTGAAAAAAGAGAACACGAAGATTAAGAATAAGAAGTATACGAACAATACGGAAAGATTCAAGATTTTACGTTGAAATGTTCAATTGTCCACATAAACGTTTGTTTGTCACATAGCAAAAAAGTGATGTGATAGACAATAAGTTAAATTTACGTCAATACGAACATAGGTGAAGCGTATATGATTTTTTGAGAAATTTCCCTTTCCTGTATCTTCTATTAATTTTATAATAACAAGAAAAGACAGTTTTTTATCTTTCTAACACAGCACAAGATCAGTTGATTCAATATTATTATGAAAAGTGTGTTATTCGGCCTGATACATGAGAAATAAAACTTGAGCAGAAATCGAATTACCATTGAAAAATCTTAAAAATATAAAAGAACTTAAAAAAATCTATGATCTCTATTTGCTAATTTCTTACAGTTCTTATGTTCTTCCGTATAGGCATAGATCTTTTCGAATTTTAGCGCGATTTGCAACTTTTCAGTTAAAGCGAAATTCCGACAATCATCACTTATTATTGCTCTTCTCACGAAACGAGATCCTTTAACTACTTTCCTAATTAATTTAATCATTGATTTGTACTTACGGTAATATATATTTAATAAAAATTGTAATTATTTTAATCAGAGGCTTGCGCTGAGAATGAGCATCGATTATGAGAATTATGGTATTTATGATATAAATAAAAAACATCCGATAGAAGTGAATATTATGTTCAAAACAGCAATAAAGTTATTGATTGCTAATACTTCAAATAAGATTGTTTTGGTTACTGAAGACGGAGAGATATTGAGAACAATTTATATATTATAATTAAATCATTTCATATTAAATTACTAGAATCATCGACGAGAAACTATTAAAGACTGTCAAGCCTGATAAAATTTTCAGCCATATAAAAAGGTCAACAGATAATTGAAGTACGCTGATTTTAACGACAATTAATATAAATTTGCAATTATTAATATAAATATTTGGCTCATACATTATGAAATTCATGATTCTTTTATTACATAAATGTTCCATAAATAAATATGCATACTTGTAAAGCTATAATATCCTATTTATTGCAGAAAAATTACAATTTTTTTTTTTGTAATTATCATCTCTGTTAATAATAAACTTTGACGCTGAAATCATTTTAAAAAAAATCGAGTATTATAAATGCATAATTACGTTTACTAAATCAATAAATCATAAAATTAATACAATGTTATCAGTTTTTAATTCTTAATTACTTCAATATTCACAAGGACGCAAACTCCCGTAAGAACGTCGGTCTTTAATATTATTTCGTCGGTGTCGTGTTTAATGAAATTTTTTGACGTTTAGGAATTACATTATAGAGTAGAGTGTAATGTATTCGGAGTGTAAAAAAAGATTATAATTTTTATCTTTTAACAAATAAAATACATAGAAATGAAAAAAAAAGATTGTCTTATAAAGTAAATTTTGCCTTCATAAAGAAATCTTTATTAGAAAAAACAGTAAAATTATAACGTGTGTCACTAACTGTGTATGTATACATTCTTTATAGAATCTAATTATCCCATAAAGGAAAAATGAGTATATTTAATATGTTAATATATATGTTAATATATCATTAAATGTGTTAATTTATACATAACGTTTTATAATATAAAGTTATAAAAAATCAAAACTTTTTACATTTAACATATTGAAGCTCATTGAATTGACAATATAATGTTGTGAGTATACTAAATGTATGCTTAATTCTATATTAATTTTTGAGTTATTTGTATTTTATATTATTTTACTTTATGATATGAATACAACGTAACTAAATTCATTGAATCTAACCAATATGCAGGTCGGTCCCATAAAATAATGAAATTGAAAATTTTGAATATTTTAATTGTTTTGATGAAATAAAAAGATACTTTAGATGAAAGTGAAATAATTTCGAGAACATTGTGTACTTTTCGGTCACGTTATTTTTTTTGAGTAGAGGCACCATGAAAATATGAAGAACTTCAAATTTTTTAATGAAATTTATTAAATACAATATGATTTCATAATTATTCTATGAATAAAAATACTAAGACAGAGATATCAGATATTTCATACTCTATTGCAACACAATTTAATATGAAATATTAAATAATTTGTAAATTATTAATTATATAATAATCGCACCTAAATACTTTTATAATCAGAATAATAAAGTAATAAATCAATTTGTGTAAAGAAGATACATAATTGCTTATAAAAATATGAAGACAAAACGGTTAATTTTAGAAATAAGCAATTGTGTTTCTATTACATCAAATGATCCTTTTCATTATATTCTATCCATGCAAGTTTTATGCGTAGAATAATTAGAGGAATCATATTATGTAAAAAAATCATTACAGAAAGAAGTGACCTTTTTTTAGAGCACTCATCTAGGAAAAAACGTGATCAAAATACGTCAATCTCGATATCCAATTTCACTTGAAAAATTTCTTCGTATTATTAAGAAAAAATGAAATATTCAAGAATTTCAATTGATTCAAGAAGATAACATCCTGTGTAATTAATTTAATTGAATAAATCGATGATCACATTATCTGTTTAAAAGAAACATGTATGGCAAGGTACTAGTGCAAAACTTACATTCAATTCTGAATCTACAGACAATGAGATTGAAAATGAAATTATAGCAAATCTTGAAAAGCTCTCAGAATTTATACGTTATACTTCTTATAAGGTTGATTGGAGCAACACAAGAATTGTAAAAGCTGCAGCTAACACGATTAATTTTCTCACTTTGACTGATCACTTTGATGAGGACAAAGTAAAGTGTTACGACGATATTATCATAAATGCATTTTTTAATAATAATAATTTAATAATAATTATTATTAACTGTACAGACATCACTTAGATATATTATATTTATTTAATTTAGGTATATTACATAAATGTTTGGATGGAAAAAGTTGCAGTATATATCAAATAGACATTAAAGAGGAGATTACATGCATGAGTTGCGGAAATAATTTTTATGTAATAGTTACCGATAACTACAAAACGTACAGTTGGGATATAAATAAGTGTGGGGAATTGGGTTTGGGTACTTCCCAAACTTTAGGCGAATTAACTATCATAAAAGAGCCACGTGAAATAGCTGCATTTGCAGGCAAAACAATTGATAATTCTTTTTATACACATTCCAAAAAATGTAAAGATATATACATGAAGAATTTATAGCTGCAAGCATTGTAGAATAATCTAATCTATTTAATCTTAATGTTTAGTTAAGGTAGCCTGTGGAATTGATCATACACTCGCTCTAATCGATGAAAGGAAAGTCTACGGCTGGGGGTCGAACACTTATAGACAATTGAATCTGAATAACAGAGTTGTCCTAATTTGATCTCCTATCAAGGTGAATAATTTGCTTCTGTAATTGTATTGACACAAACAGGAAACAGAAAAAATTTTAAATTAAATAAATCAGAGAATTTTTTGATCAACAGATAAACATAGATAATGTAAAAAAAGTATCGGACATCGCTGTCATTAATTACAAAAGCTTTGTCAAGTCTAGCATGGGACATATCTACATGTGAGGCTTTATTTTTAATGTACCAATTAAAAAACTTGTCTGTGAATGTACGAACGCATTTGACATATGTGACTCGATGATAGCTCATTCACCAATGTCCGTGGCCTGTGAATTCATAAATGAAGAATTTCACATATTAAATGATTTGAAAACTGCATTCAACGATCAGGTTAGACTTTATTCTATGTGTTTATTTGTTTTTCGAATTCAATATTTCCAATGAAGTACCATAAGGATTGCAGTACGATTTATTTTTACAATTTAGTTTTGAATCCTTAAATGATGTCAACAAATTTCGAACTCTTTCAACTGATGGCATGTTAAAAATCATAAGCAAGCCATTAGTGCTTGCAATCTAAAAATGCTTACAATCCGAAATGGATTGACTGTTATAGTTCTATTTTGTCTCTTTGGTAAAGTCTTAGCGTATTTTTCAATATCTCTCGTTTTGGTATCTTAAATGTCTTTCTTTTTATTACACTATACATTTTTTTATTGCGTAACAAAAGGAAAGATTTGGTTATTATATAATATTCATCTTTAATAATTAATTCGTATTTCCTGTCTCTAAAGTCAACGAGTGATCTCACGATAGTAATCAAGAAACAAACAATTTATGTTCACAAGGCTATTCTGAAGATTCATTCTATATATTTTGAAAATATGTTTCGAGCTAATTGCATTGAAAGCAAACAAAGGTACATATTTATAAAAGTATATATTTTTTAAAGAACCTTTGTTATTTGATTCATTGTAATATTTTCACATATTTTTCAGCGAGATATTTTTTATCGAGATTCATTATTACAGATACGTTGTTTACAAAACATTTTTAGAATATTTATATACCGGTAGAATCAATCTGTCATCTTTTGAGGACCTGTTAGTTGAGTTTGAGTTAAACGTATCGCATATTACATCTGCAATTTGCGATTAAATATTTCGTCGTTGCAGATCTTTTGCAATTGGCAGATAAAGTCTGCCTGAAAAATCTCCAGATAAATTGTACAGGAACAATAAAAAAAACAATTACTGTATCAAATGTCATACACTTCTTTAACCTTATCAACAAAATGGCGGAACATTACAGGAAGGTAACTAATAGAATTATTTTTTTTTGTTTTCCATTGTAGATTTTTTTCTTTTCTGAGACAAAAGAGAGAATTGCAGAATTTATAATGCATGTAATAAATATGGGATTTATGTATTAATCCAATTGGGGGAATTTGTTTTCCATTTTTTTTTCTATCCCAGTAAAATATTCTCCCCTTTAAAATTCCTATACGCGAATCTTTTACTTCACACGAATATCACTTTTTAACGCAGAATTCATTAACTCTAAAAATGTATCTTTGTATTAAAAGTTTTGTAATTCATTTATATATGTAGTTTTTATTCTTTAGGAATTGATAAAATATTGCTTCAACTTCTATTTTAAAAGCATGACAAATGTAATACGGACAGAAGGTTCTCAACAATTGGATGTCGCAACAAAGGCTATGTTTATAGATAAAGGGAGAGATTTTTTTTCATCAAGAAATAATAGATCTGATTTAAAATAATATATTTCTTGTTTTAGAGAGGTGAAGTATATAATGGATATTGTTCTGTGTGAAAACGATTTATTATTTTCGTCGAAACAATTATTACATGTATTATTCGATTTATAAAAAATGATTCAATAATTGTAAATAAATTATAAATAAAAAAGGAAAAAAATCAATTTATTATTGTGATTAAATTATTTTAAATAAATTATATTTAAATATTGTTGAATGTTGACGTAAACGAAAAATAAATAATGAGTAGTGATTATTGAAAACTGCAAAATATACAATTGTTGTATGGATTTTAGATTTAAGAATCAATTGAGTATTCCTTCACGTAAACTACTAAGAAAATTTTCATCGAAGTATCAGTTAAGTATTGGAGCAATCCATCGATAATATACTATATACTATATACTATATACATACACTCGTTAATAAAATTATCGCATAGGTAAATTTATATTAAAATTTCGCATAAATTCAAATAAGCGTAACTAACTTTAAGAAATTTGTATAGCGCTTGTCGCATTCTACGTTATGGAGTGGAGTATATTTTTTTCGTAATGTCATGATAATCATGGTAAAGTATGGACTTTTCTTTTACAAATTAAAAAAAAATTAAACCTTGTACGATTTTTTTTCGAAGAGATACAATTCATCAAACCTATGCATTTTATTCAATTACCGCCAGTATTAGCATATTTTATCCTATAGGCATCACGGAGAGATTGCTGTTCAGATTTTGCGAATCGTGTGTTGTGTATGTATATGTGTGTGTGTGAGAGGGAGGGTGAAGATACGAAGGTATATTTATTCTTTAAAATTGTGTACTTCCTCCTCAGCTTCGGATGATCTCTTGTAAAAAAAATGTGCATGCATATTGATTCAAGCTCTAATTGAAAATTGAAGAATTTCTCATATTCGATGCAATGCGGCTTCCAGTGCACTAAATTTTCTTGTTGCCAAAATCGCACCATATTGAAAAGAATCCTCATTATAAATATTATAATGGCGCCAAAAAATTATGAAAAAATTACACAAGAAAGGGAAAAGAGTGCAGTTTTATACTCTAGAAAACTTAATTTCATAATTTCTGAGTTATGAGTTAAGTAAAAAGTGCAATTTCGATAATCTTACTGTATGTATGTAAACAGGGTGGTCCATCTGAAATATCTCGCTTATTTATGATGATATAAAAAAATGTTTCAAATGAAAATCGAGCTGTAAAAATACAATTTTATAATTACTTGTGGCAAAATTGCCATAAAATTGTAATTTATTGATAATTTTGACTATATTTTTTGTCTTTATAGTCTTATGTATTATACAAATATAGACTGTATTTCAGTACTTACGTATAAAATAAAACAATATTCTTCTAATATCTTTAAGGAATAGAATTGCTGATGGAATAACAGGGCTATTGATTAAATCTAAACATATTATTTAATCGCAAAAAAACATGTCTCTATGACACATAGACGTCTCATTCTTAAGTGTGTGGATACATGTCGCGTTAGGTCGCCGACTGATGGTGTTGATCGCGATATTACAAACGGGTGTATATCAATTGTCCACATCACTAATTGGCTAATTAAAAATAATATAATTTTATTGGTGAAGCAATGAAAAATTACTAGGAACAGGCCGAGTAAGTAGTGTGTGCAAGTGGGCCTTTCTCGTCGTAAATCGTCCCTGATTTAACATCCCTGCCCTAAACGTTATCGGTTGTCTAATTATTATATCAATATATAGTATCAAAAAGAAAATTTAATTTTAAACAAAGCGTTTTTAATTTAATGACTAAATATTCTCAAATTATTGTACTTTATTTATCTATTTTTTTAAATTATTATTTTACCAGCTTCAAAAAAATTATCAAATAATACAGCATAATTTACTGTGTAAGTTATTACCAAATTTCATCATTTTCATCTTGAAATAAAAATGAAACCGTTATGAGGGGCATTTTGGTCACGTTATTTTTTTCTAGGTGGAGATGCCAAAAAGATGAACGTCATCTCCACTTTTAAAAATGGAATTATATGAAATTTTTTTTACACAATCTGATTTCTTTAATTATAATTATTCCTCTAATTATAATTATAATCCGCATATAAAAGTATCGAGGTAGTGATATTAAAAGAATCAATAGTTTACGAGATATTTTACACTTTATTCTGGTACATATTGATATAAAATGTTAAATAATTCGTAAACTAGTAACTTTTTGATAATCATACCTTAATACTTTTATGAACAGAATAATGATGAAAGTTAGAAAAAACTTTATTTAACATTTTATGTCAATATGTGTCAGAATAAAATGTAAAATATCTCATAAATTATTGGTTTTTTGACATCAACCTTAATACCTTTATATATAGAATGATTAGAGGAATCATATTGTAAAAAAAATTATACAATTCCATTTGAAAAAGTAGAGATAATTTTTATATCTTTTTGGCGCTTCCATCTAGAAAAAAGATAATATGATCAAAATACGTCCCTCACGAAACAGTTCTATTTCCATTCGAAATTTTTTTTTATATCCTCAAAAATAAGCGAGATATTTCAAATAATCGATTTAAATAGATCAGCTTGTATATAAATTGCACCGCAACGTGTTAAAGAATTTAGCAACACGAGCGCATCCTGTGTGGAGAGTTTTTAATCTTAATTGGTGACAATGGGAAAGTTCCATTTGACCACGTAGCGATTAGAATCACTCACAACTTAGAGCACTGATTTATTATTTTAAAGTTGGTATAGGTCATAAAAGCTAATTTCTAATATAAATAACTCGAATATCTAACTCATATTCTAACATCATGAATACAAACCCTAAGTAGATAATATTTATACTGGTCTCTCAATAACACAAAGGTAAATTTATATTAATTTTCAAGGAAAGAGTTCGTTTTTTTCCGATTTCAATTTGTTCAATTTCAGTACGCATCACTTGTGAAATAAGATATCGTTAAAAAAGATATTTAACAAATATTTCTACAAATTGTATTTAGTGTAACGTATCCATCGTTATCATGTCTATTTCGCTCAAATTTGACGAATACCTTATAACAGAGAAACAACATATAGACTTAATCAATTTCAAACGTTGGTAAGTTTAAAGTTTCTTTTTTTCTTATTTTTTTTAAATATACATCGACGAATAATTTTGAAATAATAATAGACAGATATTAATGATCCAGAATTAGACTCATATTTTTAGTACGTTGATTTAGCCAAAAGATTATCCAACGGCATATTACATGTGCCTTTATAATATAAATGCGATTAGATTCGTCTTTGTGCATATTTTAGTCCGGATCTACAATAGATATTTTAAAACTTAAACCGTAAGAAATTTACCTGTTACGATCGAATGCAAGGAGAATAATTGATTCATATATATGATTCGTCTATTTCTTATGACTTAAGGTTTAAAAATATATTAGATCCGTGCTTTTTCTACGATTGCGAAAATCACAAAACTAAAAAAAGTATAAGAAGACATTCGTTTGTGTGTTGATTGAAATTCCCAAAAATTTTTGTTAACTTAAAATAAAATGAACATACACACATTTGAGCGTTGAAAAGAGAGAAGATTGAGAGTAAGAAGTACAAGCAATATGAAAAGATTTTACGTTCAACTGTCCACGTAGGCATCGAGAACTTGCAGACCATAAAAGTAACGTAATATCCAATTAACATTCCTCGCGAAGTAAATAAGTGATGTGATGTAATTATCATATTTAAATTTAAATTTATTATACTTTTTACATCTGTATGAACATAGGTAAAGCGTATAAGGTTTCTTGAGAAACCTTTTCTATTTTTTTTTAATTTTATAATATCAAGAAAAGATAGCAGTTTTTTGTCTTTTTGTAAAACGGCACACAGGATCGCAATCGTCAATATTAATTACAAAAAGTGTATCATTATTTCGATCAGATCTTATGGCCATGGTATACAAGAAAACATGATCAACAAAGCTTGTGCAAAAACCAAAGCATAGTTGAAAAATATCAAAAGAGTACTTAAAAAATTTTAGATTTTTTTGCTAATTTCTTACAATTCTTACGTCTTTTCATACGCAATAGTTATCGTTCTTTTCACATTTATTTTAACTCAATCTGCAACTTTTCCAATAAACTAAAATTCCGACAACCATTACTTATTGTTCTTTACACAAAATGAGATACATAAATTACTTTCCTAATTAATCATTTATTTGTATTTATATATATTTAATATATATTTAATAACAATTGTAATTATTTTTATCCAAGGCTTGCACTGCAATCGTGCATCCACTATGTGGACGGTAGTGGTTATATAGATAAAAAAAACCATCCGACAAAAGTGGATATTATGTTCAAAAAAAAAACTAAAGATGTTGCTTGTCAATATTATAAATGAGGGCAGCTTCTTTGATTACTCAAGACGTTGAGGTACATGAACAATTTATATATCATAATAAAAATTGACATTTTATATTTTACTAAAATGAGTCATCGCTGAATTTTTGTGACATTAAAAATTACATCATAGAGCAGTATAAAGTACAGAGTGAAAAGAAAATTATAATTTTTATCTTTTAATAAATAAAATATATGGAAATGAAAAAAAATCAAATTGTTTTATAAGGTAAATTTTGCCATTATAAAATTTTTATTAGCAAAAAATAGTAAAACTCATGACATGTATCATTAACTATGTACATATCCTTTAAATAATAAAAGCAATAATCATATAAAGGAAAAATGAGTATGTTTTATATATTTACAACGTTAACATACATGCCAAATACATTTAATACGTCAATTTTTTATTATATGTTTGTTATATGCTGTTTTTTATCATGTGTATATAATAAGTGCATAATATTTTACAATATGAAGTTATAAGAGATTAAAATTATTTTTCATATTTAACGTATTGAACAAGCTCATAGTATTGACA